CCTGAGGGCCTAGCAGGGGAAGGAAGACTTACCAGATTTAGGGTACTCTGTGCCATATTGAGTCCATATCATCTCATTAAATCCTCACCACAATCCTCTGAGGTAAATAATATATAAGCTGCTCCCTATGAGATTGAAAAGTGCTGGTCCTCCTGGAAATATTTGCATTTTCCAGGACCGAAGTTTTACTCCAAGGGAACTGGCCGGTAGAGAAGAGAGAAGGAGGCCAGTTGGATGAAACAGTGTTTTCTTTTTTGCATTTTTTGATACAAGGGTCCTCAGTGCCCATCACTTAGGTATTTGTGTCCCTGTCCCGTGACGGTGTCCCTCCCTGGCTGTGTCTTTGACGGCCTCACCATTTCCCTCTCATCCCTCCTGGCCCCCTGCCTTCCAGTTCCAGAAGCCAGCCTCCCTCCTTCCTCCCAGAACAGCCTGCCTGCTGAGTCTCATCGATCCATCCCGCTGTATCCTGAGCGAGACTAATAGGTTCCCTTGGTCCCTCTCAGCCTTAGAATTGGCAGGCAGACCCGCTGCTGGGCCACGGGTCCCGCAAGAGAGGAGGTTGAGAGTGGAGGTGGAGGGGGTGCCAGGGAAGACAGCAGCTTTTAACCCCTCTGGTGGTGACTGCCTTTAGTAAATCCCATAGTTGCATTAACCAGACAGAGGTGAGGAGAATGACAATTGGAAAATGGCAAACTGCACTGAAAAACTTCTAATATTCTTAATAAAACGAAACCACACTTTTTCTTATGCAAATATCTTCCACTGACTAGAATTAAAAAGTATTCTCTTCTGATTCATAAAATTAGAGTGTCTCTGGACTGGAAATGCATCATTGTTTTTTTTTTTTGGTTTTTTTTTGAGTTGGAGTCTCACTCTGTCGCCCAGACTGGAGTGCAGTGGCTGCTCCCAGCCACCGCAGCCTTGACCCACTGGGCTCCGGCGATCCTTCCACCTCAGCCTTCCGAGTAGCCGGAATTACAGGCGTGCGCTACCACGCCCGGCTAATTTTTTGATTTATTGTAGAGATGAGGTCTCGCTGCCCAGGCGGGTCTCAAACCCGCGGGCTCAGGCAATCCACTCACTTCAGCCTCCCAAAGGCGCGGGATTACAGGCTGAGCCACCGAGCCCAGCTGTCAATGTTTTTTCAGTTTAACATTCCATCCGCTAGTTTAAATCCCTCTACAATGATCCTTAAGAGGAGTATCAGTCTTTCCTTAACTACCTCCAGCGATGGGGAACTCACTACCTCATGTGCAGCCCACCAAGTCCTAAAGGAAGGGTTCTTCCTGATGTCTCCTCATTGCTCCTGAGCTTAGTCCTTGAGGCTGCCAAGAGCCAGTCTGCCTGGTGACAGCCCTTCCCACTCTCCCTCAGGCAAGGCACTCAAGTCAGCAACTTCTCAAGTGACTTGGTGACTGTTCCCACTGGCACTGCTCCTTCCCTGGCCTGTTAGGGTGCAAAGTCTCTTTCTCTACCCCCCTGCACCCCAGTCTCTAGCTCAGTCCAGTCCTGCCCTGGGCATGTGCAAAGAAGTTTGAAATGGGATACCTTCTTGACACTGAAATAATTTGTGTATATAGTATGTGTTATTTAAAAATATATATATACACACAAGTACACATATACATACATATATTATCAGATATTTTGTATGGTTTAAGACTGCAGCTATATTTTGTGGATTGGATAATGAGTCCCATAGAGTGGGGAGACATGGCGAAGACTGAGAGAGGGCTAGGGGGTGGGGAGGGCAAGTGAGGGTGAATGGGAAACAAGATTTGTGAAACCCCATGTAAGTGACAGCACCGTCCATGTCCTTGACATTCGCCTAACAACCCTGAAAGGTCATCATCTCCTTATTCCACAGACAAGGACACTGAGATGCAGAGGGGTGGGGGCATTGCCACATGAACCCACTGAGCAATGCTGGATTTAGCATCACATCTCGACATTGGACCCTTTGTGCTCTGCCAGGTGCCATCCAGGTGTGGAAGAGAAATGACTCACTGATAGGCGATGCTGTGTGGGGTGCGGGCATCCCCGAGGACTCACTCCCCTTGTCCCTTCCTGCTCCCCACCCTGTCCCCACAGTGTGTGTTGGATGGGATGGGAGGATGGTGCTGTTGTTTGTTTAAAGGGAGGCAGAGCACGCCAAGGGGTAGCAGGCTGAGGATTGATTGGGGCAGGGTCCCCAGTTGATCTGATATCTGGGGGCTTTCTTTCTCTGGGAGCCCAGTGCACCCGCCAGTTTTAAAGTGACAGAGCATCCCTGGCCGCCTTTGCCAGGCATCACCATGCTGAGCGTAATCCTGCTGTCATCCCAGGCTTCCCTGTCTCATCCCACTGAACTTCATTGCCTGTCTGAGGAATCCCAGGGGATTTAGCCTCTTTCCCAGCCAGGCTCCAGAGTCTCAGTGCTGCATTCCAGAACCCATGGGCTCACCTCCGCCACCCTCCCTTGTTCCCCAATCCAGCTGCCAGGCTCCCTCACCCACAGCATGCCCAGGAGAAGGCTGAGACTCCAGGGGGTGCTAGCTCTCTGTGTCCCCCCTCCACTTCCTTGTTAGAGTGTCTCTTGGATCAGGTGCTCATACTTTTGTCCAGATGGGAGTTAGCTTTTCATATCGCCTCTGAGAAAGGTGTGGTGAGTACTCTCTCCGTTTTACATATAGGACAAAATGAGGCTACATATAGGATTTTAAAAAGATTAATTCAGGCTGCCAAACAAAATAGAGATGTATTTGAACTTCATCACCAACTTAGCTCGAGGGCTTGGACCCCAAGCTCCTGAGGGCAGGGGCTGTATCTGATCCATCCTCTCTGCCTGGTGTCCCATCTGCACAGTGCCTGGCGCCTAGGACATGCCAGAGGCGTGAATAGACATGCATGTGCCTGACTCTTCATTTCCTCACCATGATTGCCCTTGGAGGGCTTGTGAGGATAAGCAGTAGAGAAGGAACAGCAAGATAGAACTTCAGCATGCTTTCTCATATGTTCTCATTGAGTTCTCAGCCACTTAGACCCACTTTATAGATGAAGAATGGAGCCTCAAAGAGTTTAAATGACCTCCCAAGGTCACATAGCCAGTGAGGGCTGCCCCTGAACTTAAATCCGGATCTTCGGGGTCAGAGTTGACAGGAAGTGCCCCTGCAACAGCGCTGTCACTATTGATGGGGGCTGGTGGTGAAGGGCTTCGAGGGGCACAGACAGCACTGCTGAATCTTTACAAGTCTCCATTGGGGCCCTGTCGGGGTTGGGAGGAAAGGTCAGCCCCATTTTGTGGCTTGCACAGCTGGGCTATTTCTCAAGCCTTTTTGTAAATAACAGGACCTCCCACCAACCTGCTGCAGCCTTCAACTCCCTGGAAGCCTTCTCAAAACAGGTGACAGGAAGATGGGGGTTGGAAACACCTTCCCAGAGTTCCTGTCTCCGTTGGATCAGGACCCTGGGCTCCAACCCTGCTACCCTCTCCTTCCTGTTGACAAAGCATACCAAGCATAGGCTGTCCTCTCCTGAGTCCTGAGACTGTGCCTGCTGCTTCCTCTTGAGTTTGTCCTCAGGGACAGCCTGTCTCATGGGAGGAGAGTGGGATGGAGATCAGAATTCTGGTCCTAGCAGTGTTGCTGTGTTTTGTGTGTCGTGTTATCTCTCTACAAGATGAGGAGGTGGTTGCAATGCTCCTCACTGTTCGCTCTCAGTTACCTTTTGATCCTTGAGGGTCAAGACAGTGAGTAACCTGTGTAGGCAAGTGTCTTATGGGTTGTATTTGCACCATCTCCGAGTGAATATCCCATCATCCAGCACCACCACTGACAGCATGGGACCTTGGACTAGTTAGAAAACCAGCCCTTTCCCTCCACCCCTGTGTGGGAGACAAGACACTCATCCTCCCCACCTCTGGTTCTCCTCAGTGTTGGGGATTAAAAGACTTTATAGGATTGTAGTGAGGACTTACATGAGATAAGCCATGTAAAATGTTTAACACATTAGCTGGAACATAAAATGTGTTCGATAAATGTCATTGGTTGTCATTTTTGGGGGAGCAAACGCCCACATGTGTCTTTCCCTTGGAACTGAGACTACCGTTCCCCACCGCCACACATGCATGTCCTCCCCAGCCTGCCTTTTCAGAGACAAGGCGGAATTAAGACCCTCTTGTCTCAGGGACTCTGTTCTGGGACCCTCTTGCCTCACCATAGCCTAGGCAGCCAATAGCTGAGGGTGGAGAAGTAGGGGATGGAGGAGGGGGCCTTTAGTACATAGTCCCATCTTTCATTTTGTTCTGGGCCCAGATTCTTGTCTGCTGGTGTGCAGTTCAAAGCCTGTTCTCTTATGAACATAATAATACCTTGTCTTAATGCAGCCACGAGGTTCTGAGGAGTTCAAAGTGTTTGCTAGACCTGTTTTCCGGGCCTTGGGATCTTGAGGGAACTTCTCCCCCACCTCCAAAATTAAAGCAAAGCAAAGGCTCTTGAAGAGCCCAATATAACATTTATGGGGGTTTACCGTGTCCCATGCTCAGGCCTAAATACTTTACCCGTGACCTCCTTTGATCCTCACCCTGGACCTGTGCACTGGCTTCTGTGATTAGTCTCATTTCTCAGGAGGGGAAACTGAGGCCAAGACAACTGACCACATGAAAAGGTCTTCAAATTGGGGAAAGAGTCCCAGGCCTGGTGGTCCCTGACCCCGGATCTCCACCACTGTGCGTCCTGCTTCTGAGGATGGTGGTGAGGAGGGCTTATTCTCTTACTCCACCCAAGGGGGCTTCTTGCTCTGCCTTCTGAAGTGTTCCTGAGGGAGTCAGAGGAGATGGGATAACTGATGCCCGAAGAGGCTAAGAAACTTCAGGTTATGATGTAGCACCTAACACCAGCAACGGGGTCAACCCACGACCCCACTTCCAGCCCTCTCCTCCATGTGTCCTGTTTTTGCCCAGGTATCTCTTGGGGCAGCTCTGCGGACCCTCAGGGGCTTCATCCTCTCTCCCCCTCCAGGCCTTTTAAACCTAGAGAAGCTGCTCCGGCAATTCCTTATCTCCAAGGATACACTCTCGGTCCGGATGCTGGATGACACCCGGGACCCCACTCCACTCCTCAAGGAGATCCGGGACGACAAGACAGCCACCATCATCATCCACGCCAACGCCTCCATGTCCCACACCATTCTCCTGAAGGTGGGAGCCAGGCTGGGTGGGTGCTGGTGGGCACCGAGCATCCTTCACTCCCTTCCCTCCCTCCCTGCCTTGAGTGTCCTTCTGAGCTGTGGCTGAAGGAGTGAGTCCTGGGCAGGACCCCAACCCTGACAAACCTCTCTCTGTGCTTCTGTTTTAATGGATGGTTCCCAAAAGCCAAAAGGAGAAAACGGTGTGACGGTGATGTTGTAAAAATATTCCGCACCGGTGCAGCAGAGCCTCAGGCAGTAGAGACACTGACAAGCCTAACTCTCCCAGGGGCCCTGTGGAGAGGTCTGTGGGTATCCAGGAGGGGCTTGGGCAGAGGCTGTTTGCCAATTGGTATAGAAGTGATTGCGTATTTTGACAACTAGGACAGTCACACCAGTGTGTATTGCTGAATGTCAGCCCTGTCTTTGATCCTGACACAGTGTACAACAGTTCACAAAGTGCTTCCGTGCAATTTTCCAGCGTAAAACTCCCCAGTGATGCCGTGAGGTAGGTATAACCTCTCCCCCATACAGATGAAGAAACTGAGACTTGGGTAGATTAACAGATTTGTCCAAGGCCTGTGAGGAGCAGAGCTGAGCCCGTGCATTTCCCTCTTACCTGCAAATCTGGCCATTTTCTCCTGCGCTCCTGGAGTCAGAGGGGCAGAGTGCCAACTCCCGAATCAGAACACACACGCGTAGAAACTAGAACTCTGTGAGTGAGAGAAAGAAGTCAGGTGCCTAGAGGCCCCACACGGGACACACAGCTGCAAAGAGACAGGCAGCCTCAGAGTCACCTGGCACCAGCTCCTGGGCTGGCGGCTGGACTAGACACGCACCCCAGGGGGAGAAAACCCTGCTTCCAGGCTCCTTGGCGGCGTCTCGGCAGCTCCCCCAGCTCCTCCAGGCGCACTGGCCTCTTCTAATGCCGATTTAATTGCACATTTAAACACAACCTGCCATCTTCCACTGGGGGAGCGAGGCTCCTCGTTAACCTCTGCCAAGCTGTGAGGAGCCCGCAGACACTCAGTTGATTGTCTCTGCCTCTCCCTCATGCTCCTCCCCAGCTAGTTTTTGTCTCAGAGTTAATAAGAGATTTGAATGAGTTCTCTCAGTACTGAGGGTTGTCCCTTCAACCCGTTGCTATAGTAATTTTCCAGAGCTCTAAAGCCACGTCTGTCCGTGTACATATACCCAACTCACATTCTTTCTCTCCTCTCCTTTCTCTCTCTCATACACACATGCATTCAAACACAGAATTTTTATTTTTTCTTCTTTTTTCTTTCTTCTCTTATGCCAGGAGCCATGATCAATGAAGTCATTAAGGATGGAAAAGCTCCCCTGAGTTTCAGGGAAGAAGAGATACAGACTGAGAGGTCCTCATTGGGGAGGGTAGGGAGCAGGGAGTGAGAGCTTCAGCTTAGTAGATAGATGTCCCCCCAGCCTCCTTGTGGAAGGCAGTTTGGAATGTACACTATACACTGTAGTCCCCCTGTAGTAACTGGAGTCTGCCTGAACAGGCCCCAGGGAAGAAGCAGCCCCTAACCCAGGAATATTCCATCCTGCCTAGCGTATGAGGTTGAGCTCCTCACCAACAATATAATTAGTTCATTGTTGAATTTTTTGAAAGTATACAAAAGCACATAGATGGAAATAAAAATTATTCACAACCTTACCACCCAGAGCAAACCACTATTCAATTTTGATGTCTATCTTTTCTGCTTTAGAGATATATTTTTACCCCAAAATTATTATCACTTGGCACAAACTTTTCTGTAAGCGGCTTTTCCTCACTTAATTCTATGCCATGCATTTTCCCCACGTTATTAAACATTTTCCTACAAATATTTTAACGGCTGCATCATTTCCTACCATACAGATGTCCCATAATTTATTTAACCATCCCTTTATTGTTGGAGATACAGGTTGTTTCCAATCTTTTGCTATAATAAATAATGCCGGGTGCACATCTTTGTACATAAATCTTGATGCGCGCATTCATGAATATTTCTGTGGCATAAATTTCTAGAAGTGGAATTACTGAGTTAAAGGTATGCATGCTTTTAAGGAATTTGATGTGACTTGCCAGATTGCCTTTTTAGAAAGCCTGTAACAGTTTATACTTTCACCAACTGCATGTAGGTATCTTACAGCACCCTTGCCAATACTAAGGATTTTCACTAAAAACGCTTTGTGGATTTTTTGTTTTTGCTTTTGTTTTTTCTTTTTGTGTGTGTGTCTGTGCTTTTGAAGGAAGTGCCACCTGTAGTGATCATTACCTGCAAGTTCTGTTGGGTGCTCCTTGGCTGTTGTCCCTGAGCCTACCATCAGCTCCTGTTCCCATGACCTTGGAGCCATACTGATCAATGAGCAGTGAGGCTTCGGAAAAGGCTGTTCCCTTTGTTCCCGTTTGACTGTCTAGTGGCCCAGGCAGGCAGACCATCCATCAGGCCTGACCTCTGTCCTCATACTTTTCTGAGGCTCCAGAGTCCTCCCTCCAGGACAAGAGCGCAAAGGGGCCTTCCAGGCCTCACGAGTATGGTCTCCATGTGGGAAGTAGGGTGGGCTGAGAGCACATGGAGCATCTGGAAATGTGATGTGCATGTGGGAGGGAGCCCAGCCCCCTAAGCTTGGCAGCACTTTGCCGTCTCTTGATTTCAGGAGGATTTGCAGAGTAATCCCCGACTTTATTGAGCGGCTGTTCCGGCAACGAACTCCATGTTTACCCAGAATTCAGGCCTTAAAAACCAAGGATCTCTTGTCTTTTATCTCTAGGACAGCAGATTTCACAAAATGGGTTTTAACCATCTGACTGCACCCTCCCGCCCCCTGTCCCCAGCCCGTCCCCGTAAGCAGCAGGCCTTGGTGAGTGGGCTCACATCCAGTCTAGGCAGGGGTGACAGGCAGCAGCATTCTTATGTGGAGAGTGTGAAGGACTTGGGGCCTGGGACTGGGTGGGGAGGGTCACCTGCCACATCCTCTCCTTGGAAATGGAAAAGGAAATATAGGTTCGCTTGGAGGAAGAAGGAGCGTCACTAAAAAGGCCTTGAGCTCCACTGTGGCCTCCCAAGAGACCCCACCCCAGTCACTAAGCCTTTCTGTCCTTCTGCTTCCCATGGAAATGATGGCTATAGGATCACCCCAGCCTGTTTTTCAAGGAGGCTGCGAGGGTTCCTCTAAGAACATTCACAAGTTATTTGAGTTTTTTGAGAGATCGACACTATGTAAGAGGAAAAATGTAATCATCCCTGGTCTTGTTTCTTCTCCATTCACCTCAACAGTCATGACAAAAACGTGTCCCAGAGGCCCAGGGCTGCAGATACATTATGAAAATCTAACCAACTGTCAGGAGGGATGAGGACCCTGGAGAGAGCTGGGCTCATTATTTACCTGATCTACTTGTCAGTTTCTATAGCACCTGTCACTCTCAAAGCCGGGCACACTGACAGGGAAGGTTGGTTAGGGGTATTTATGATAGGTACAAAGATCAGACAAAAGGGAGACCGTTCTGAAGTAGCAATTCTCAGCTGTGGAATGATGCCACACTGGTGTGCTGTGATCAAGGGTGAGGCATGTCACAGGCAACTTGTTCCTTCCTGCTAATAAAGGACCAAAGTTTGCAAATGATTTGCTTGTTTCCTACATTGCTGCAGGTTCAGGAATACTCTTATGATTCTCACGTGCACTCTGACGGGGCTGGAGTTAATGTGGGCATTGCCTGCAAACAACAGACTCTCTGATCTATGCTGCAGCCCCGGTGAGGGTTGTGTCTGTGCCATCAGTATCACAGACCTCAAGGGGGAATGCCATTTGAATAAAAGCACTAAGATTAGCCTGCCTGGCTTTACTTTCATCTTTTCCTTTCATGAGACATGTGATCTTATACAAGTTATTTAACCTTTTGTTGTGTCAGTTTCCTCAGTTGTAAAACAGGAAAGAATAATAGTGCCTTCCTCATATAGGTAACCCATATAGAATGCTTTATACTGTCTGGCATGTACTAAACAGTGGGCAAGTGTGTGTTGTTGTCATTGTTAATAGCCGTGGAGATAATTTTTAAAAAATTTTCTTTAGAAAAGGGGTCTTGCTATGTTGCCCAGGCTGGTCTGGAAATCCTGGCCTCAAGTCATCCTCCACTTCAGCCTTCCAAAGTGCTAGGATTGCAAGCATGAGGCACTGTGCCCGGCCAGAGATAATTGCTATCATCTGTTTCATTACTTGCTTTGTTTCCCTAAAAGTCATTTTACTTTCACTATATCTGGGTATATCCATGAGAGTGTGTTGTGTGGGAGAACATCAGTTACTACGAATGTTACTGCAGGGATACGGATCTTGACGTGCCCCATCCTCCAAGATCAAGGGCAACATATGAACCAATCAAGATGCTGGACTCCGCCTGGTGCTGAAGGGCAGTGGGCCAGACAAATGGCAGATGCTTGGAGCCCTCACTGCTCATTTGCTTCAAGTGGATTTTTGCTTCCTTCTCTAATCTCCTTCTCTTTGCCTTGCAGGCAGCTGAACTTGGGATGGTGTCAGCCTATTACACATACATCTTCACTAATCTGGTAAGACGTTTTCACAGCTCACCTCCTTGGCACAGAGAGTGTTGTTAGTGGTTGAGGTCAGTGGATTGTGGCTGAATGAACCCAGGAGACGAGGAGCAAGGAGGATAGAGGCAGAGGAGCAGAGGCTGGCCAGAGAGGCAGGGTGCCCTGGAAACATGGAATCTGAGAGCCACTGGGATTCTCATCCCAGCAGTCCTTATTCTTGGGATCATGGGGACCTGGGGGGGTCTACAGTTTCCATTCAAATGCCACTGGCTACATAGAGCTAACTCCTCTGGGTGTGGCATGATGGACAAGCCTCTTCCGTAGGTCTAGTTCCTGGCCTGCAGTCTAGTCTCTGCAGGGCCAGACCCCGTACTAACTTGGAAGTAAGAGCGCTAGGGCACAAAAAGTATACATGTCTGTGGTGTTCTGACTGAATGTACCTTTGGAGGCCATCTTAGCCAGATCCCCTTGTTTTGCAGATGAAAAAACCGAGGTCTGTAGAAATTTTATTGCATCAGGTACGAGTACTAACTTTGCTACCTAGCAACTGTATGCCCTTCAACAAAGGACTGAGCACTGGTGTTTTTATCTGTAAAATGGGGGTGAGAACAGCTATGTCATGGAGTTGCTGTCATTTTGAAATGATATACTTTAGCCTATGTGGCAGCATTTTGAAATTGTGAAGCGTTAAGAAATATGACAGATTATTGTGACATGCAGCCACACTCAGAGTGTAGAAAGGTCCTCAGATAGGAGGTTTCTTTCTTTCTTTCCTTTTTTAACCATGCAACCAAACCCTTGTTAACATTTTGAACAGGTTCAGCTATTATTGAAGCTGGTAATTTCTAAACTTAAGTTGGGACAAATGACTATAGTGCAGAGTAATGCCATCATTGGGCACTGTGAATACAAAACTGAAGAATTGATAGCCACCCCTCAGACGGAGGACCAGGTGCACGGTTGACTCTTTCTGGATGTTGTAATCAGAAAGAGTGCGGCCATCTTCCAGCTGCTTGCCTTTTTTTAAAAGTAACTTTTTATTTGAAATAATTATAGATTCATAAGAAGTTGCAAACGAGGTACAGAGAGAGGTGCCATGCATCCTTAACCCAGTTTCCTCCAGTGGCTACATTGTATATAATTACAGTACAGCATCAAAACCGGGATATCAAAATAGCAAATCTGTCAAAACGTGTACATTTGTGTACGCCACTGAAAGTAAGATACAGTACTATTTCTTCCCCACAAAGATCTCCCTCCTGCCACCATTTAATTGTCACACCTGCCACCCTCCTCCCCTCATCCCTAACCCTTAGCAACTGCTAATCTGTTCTCCATTTCTGTAATTTTCCGATTTTTGAGAATGTTATATAATGGAATAACGTAGCATGTGACCTTTTGTGGTTGGCATTTTTCACTCAGGCAATGCCCTTGAGATCCATCCAAGTTGTTGGATTTTTATTGCCAAGTAGTTTTTCATGGTATAGATGTGCCACGGTTTGTTTAACCCTTCGCCTATTGAGAGACATTTTGGTTGTTTCCAATTTTTGACTATTACATCTGGAGCTGTTGCAAAACAGTCATTCAGAGAAGAGATTGATTTCATTTTACAAATCACTTGACTAGGTGGCCCCTTCATCCAGCACCTCCTGTGTACAGGCACAGGGCCAGGTGTTAGGGATTAAAATGTGACTAAGCCTGTCTTGGAAAAAACTCAAAGTACCTATTGTAGTGCAAAGTACTAAATTCTATTATTAGACATGTATACCAGAGGCTCCAGACCCTAGAGCAGGGCCTGTTTTCTCAACCTGAGGTGGTCGGGAGAAGTTTCATTGAAGAAGGGGCCTTCCAGCTATGCCCTGAAAGGCAGGTCAGGTTTTTCTAGATAAATGAAGAAAGGAAGGGCATTCTGGGATACAGAAAAGCATGTCCACATTCTCAGAGATAAAAAGTCCATGATATATCCAGGAAACAGTGAGTCACTTGAAACTTATGGACTATCTGTTAATTTTTACTCACTTATATACTTACATCCAACCTTGAGAGTAATCTGTTTAGAGAATTTAAGGTAGCCATCAGTGAGCTGAAAGGGCCTTGATAAGTTAGGAAGCAGAATTCAACCTCATAGGTTTGATTCTTCAATTTTGAAAAGGAAAAAGGCACCCAGAAGGAAAGACTTTCTTGGTGAGCATGTGCAATGGGGTCATTTAGGAGACCATGCAGTCTCCCTCCCTGGATCAGAGGCCAGGTCTCCTACATGTCCTGCCGGGTCTAAGAGTTGGCAGCCAAAGAAACAGCCTTGAACTCTGAGACTCTTGTTCTTTCCCAGCCATCAGTGTCTATGAACAGGCCTTTCCTGGGGCTGCTGTGAAACTGCTAACCCTGAAACTTCCTATGGACCTTTGCTCTCAGAGCCGAAGCAGAACTTGGAGGAACTCAGCGTGGCTTTTCTTCTGGTAGAGGGACTTCTTCCACAACAGTCTTGCCAGGAGTCATTCAGCCTTTGCTTGAACTTGAATTGAAATGCCTAGTTCACCACTGCTATAAAACTGCCTGCTTCATTATGGGATTTTTAAAAAAAAATTAAAGCCGAGTATGCATATAGAAGAAAACTGCACATATTATAGGTGCACGACTTTAAAAACTTTCTCCAAGTACCACACACCTGTGTAAGCAGCACCCAGATCCAGAAATAGAACATCGCCAGCACCCAGAAGCCCCTCTCATGCTCCTCAACATGTAAAACAGAGGAACTTCTTTGTTTGCCTTTTTTTCTTTTACCTAACACTGCTGCTGTAAATCAGAGCATTAATATGTAAAAAAGGGAGACTAGGATTAGAATATTCCCAGAACAATGCAAAAGTGCTTGCTTCAAGTAAGAAGGCATCTGGGGGAGCCTGGGCAGGTTGGCAGAAGGGCAAAACGAGATTAAAGTACAGTTGTGCTGCATTTGGGAGCCTGGGGAATAGAGGGGAGTGGGAAGAGCCAGGCCAGCGCTGCTGCACTGTGCCTGTCCACCAGGGAGGCTCCCTAAATTAGGTGGCAGCAGCAGCAGTGGAGGAAGGAGCTCGGCAGCGAGGTGTCGCCGGGGTGATTTACCAGACCGGAAGGAAGCCATTTGTTTGGAATATGAGCTCCCAAGACAGTCACCAGAATAAAGCAGAGTTCCATGGCTTAGAGATTTTTGAGATAGCATCCTCCACACTGCATACCACCAGCCTCCCTTCTTAGAAGTGGTGAGAATAATGGAGAGTGAAGATGTGGTCTGGTGGAAAAAACATGGGTCTGGGAAGTCAGGAGACCCGGGACAAGGCCCCGCTCTGTTTTATACACACCGTGAGCCTGTGGGTGAATCACACTGACTCTCTGAGTCGCTGTTCTCTAATTTTTAACATGAGGATAATAAAACCTCATAAAGTTACTAAAATCTACTTCTCCAGGTAAAAATGCATTTTAACTAGCAAATTGCTACATATTTATAAGGCATTGTGTCATACACACACACACACACACACACACACACACACACACACATCTCCTTGATACTGTGTTTTCAAAGAGCTTTTCTCTGTGTCAGATGGACATGGAATGAGATGAGCTCTGGGCGCATGCCTCTGTCAGAGAGTTCTTTGACCTGGAATTAACAGGACTCACAGTTTGTAAGTTTGCAAGGGGAAAATCAGAAAAGTTACTGTATGAGTAATGCTAGCTGAATAACAGTCAAGAAAACAGCAAGCAGAGCCATTACAAAAATTTGGCAGCAAGAGCATATTCTGGAAGTTTTCTTTTGTGCCTTGGCTTTCTAGAAGGGACAGATCTCTAATAGAAGTAAAGAAATGGTTTTTAGGACCAATCTTCCTGCGCAGTTGCAGTTGGAGTTTGGGGCCAGAGAGGGGAAAACTTCATACAAAAAAACTGAAAGGGAAGGGCTTCATACAAAGAGAGAGGGGCTCCATGCAGTGTGGGAGGGGCTTCATGCTGAGAGAGAGTGGCTTATATAGACAGGGTGTGTGAGTCATCATCTGTGTTTCTCCAGTCCTTTCTCTCAAATACAGATGCCAACTGGATTTTTTAGTTCTTATATACAAGGGGGACCCCCAAAACCCTGGAATTTATTTATTAAAAATGTGTATTTATTCCTACATGTTTAAACTTCAGTCACTTTCAAAGTATTCTCCATTTGATACAAAACACTTATCAAGATGCTTTTTTTTTTTTTTTTTTTTTGAGTTGAAGTCTCACTCTATCACCCAGACTGGAATGCAGTTTGCCGCTCCCGGCCACCACAGCCTCGACCTGCTGGGCTCCGGCGATCCTTCCACCTCAGCCTTCCAAGTAGCCGGAATTACAGGCATGCGCTACACGCCCGGCTGATTTTTGATTATGTAGAGATGAGTCTCACTGCCCAGGCCGGGTCTTGAACCCGCGGGCTCAGGCAATCCACTCACCTCAGCCTCCCAAAGGCACAGGATTACAGGCTGAGCCACTGAGCCCGGCTCAAGACGCTTTTTCCACTGCTCAAAACAGTTTTTGAACTTGTCAATTTGAATGCCCTTTAGTGCTTCTGCCGTTTTTTGTTTCACCTCTTCCACATCAGCAAAACATTTCTCTTTGAGGATTTTTTTCATCCAGGGAAACAAACAAAAAAAGTTGCTGGGGGCAAGATTGGGTGAACAGGGAGGGTGGGGCACTAGAGGAGTCATGTTGTTTTTGATCAAAAACTGCTAAACACTCAACAAGGTGTGGGCAGGTATGTTTGTAAATCACCCACTGGGAAATGGGCAAATGCATTGAAAGAATCTCCCCCCCCAAAAAAAATTCACTGAAGCTGACCTCTCACAGCAATGCTAACTGGTTCACTGATGTTGATAGGTTCCTAGAACACTCACCTAGCAGGGGAAGCCTGTGCTACAAAAGGTTCACCCTCCAAAAAATAATTGCAGGTTTTTTTTGGTCCCTCCTTGTATTCCTTCTCTGAATTCCTCACCATGTCCCATCTCTCTGAATTCTGCCAC